TGTCTAAAAAAAAAAAAAAAAAAAAAAGGCAACAGAAACATTTGAGCATCCTACTCATGCCCATAAAATGGGCCAATAAAAACATCTTGCTTTTTAATTGGTCAGTAACATATGCATTATGAAAGCTCTAAGATAGCATAGTGCCCTTCCAAAGGAGCCCTTGGCCTCTGCCCAGAGTGCTCTTTGGTGTAGACAGGAGAGGAGGGCGGCCCCGTGACACAGAGGTCGCCATGGGCAGCAGACACGGGGCCTCTACCCTGGCCCAAGCCAAGGAGCCCGGGGCCTCTGGTTGCTCTATGCCGTGGGGAAGTGTTGCTGACCTGGGTCATCCTACAGATAACACAAAGGGGGCTCCGGTTGTGTGCAGCTTCTCTTAGAGCCCACGTTAAGAGGAGTCACTTTGCGGACCCTGAGTGCACAGAGCCGCCTCTGTCCTGCGCTTGACCCTGCTCTCCTCCGCACGGCCAAGGCGGGCTGGTGCCTGGCTCTGATCTGCTCCCCCTAGTTACTAACTCTGAGGCTGGGGGATGGCTGGTGGCCTAGATTTGGTCTGTGTCTCTGTTTCCTGGGTGCTTCTGAATTTCTCTTTGGTCTTGGCATATGTGAGATTTGCTTGGTCTGCCAGAGGCTGGCACAGGGGAGCACCTTGTGGGTGGTGTGACCTGGAGGATTGGCAGGAGAAGTGGCCCATGGGGGAGCAGGACGGGGCTCTTGTACAAAAACACGCGGGAAGCTAGCATGCCCTCCATTCCTGCTCCAGATTCTGCCGGGCTCTTGGAGCCTCCCTCCTGAGACCCGCACACGAGGCATGGCTGGGGAGTCGCAGAGGCCGAATCTGGGTTTCCTGTGCTCGCTGCTTCAGGGCTAGGCCACGCAGCCACACCGCCTAGGCGTTGTTCTTAGGGCAGTGGAAGGAGAGTGTCACCCTCTGCGCAGCTCTGAGAAGTCGCTGCTGTCATGAAGTAACAGCCAGAGCCCAAGTCTGTGCTCCCGAGAGGGCCTGCAGCCCGCTGGTGTGAATGGCCCTTTTCTCTCTCTTGGACTTTGATCTCGGGGAGTAGGAGGGTGTTGGGGCTGGCAGAGTCTTCCCTGGCACCTCTGGTAGGGACCACACCAGGCACCCTGTGCCCCCCGGGCACCTTGGCTGTGCTTTCACTGCCATTCACCAGGGGCTGTAAGTGTGGGTCTGAGATTGGGCACTGTGTGTGTGTTTGTACACACACAGAGACAAATGCACACACATTGGCAGAGTCACACGCAGACTCACAACTCTAACCAGACACACGGCCAAGGCACCTGCACACACACACAGAGAGGCATGTGCATTCCCAGTGCTCACGCACACAAACACAATCGCTGGCACATACACGAACACACTTGTGCCCATGCCCGGGCAGGGCAGGGCTGGTGCAGAAGGCCCCTCCTGCCTGGCTCTAGTGGACCCGGACTCCTGTGCCCACGCAGCCAGGTGCGGGCGGGGCTCAGCCTGTTTGTTTGTGGTCGCTCTTGGTAACCGCAGAGATTAGGCCTCAGAGACCCAGAATGCTGCCTTAAAGCGGCGACCACAAGGGCTCAGCAGCCTGACATGCAACCCGCACTGCTCCCCACCATGCTGTCCCCTTAATCTCTGTGCCTTCTGCGGCGAGTGACGGAGCAGAGTCCCCCGGGGCAGCCAGTGCCCTTTCCGTGCCCGTGGCTCCTGGTGTGGAGCCGGTCGTGCTTCCTGCTGAATTCCTGAGTCTTTCATGTGTGTGTCCATGTGGTACCGGAATGAACCTGTGGCCTTAGCCCTCACACTCCTAAGATAGCGACTCCCTGAGCCACTGGGTTTCCGAGGCTGGGCTCAGCACCGGGATCCTCCTGCCTCAGCCTCCTGCAGTGCTGGGATCGCACGTGTGCGCGGCCATACCTGCCTGCCACCCGCGGCTCCTTTGGCACTTGTGAGTTCCTTTCCATTCTCTGAACAAATGCATGTGCCCAGCCAATGAGTTCAAAAACTAACTGACATTTGTAAGTAGGAGTTAAATTTAGGGAAAAACTGAGCAATCCTGCCGCTCGTGGGCAAGCTCCTACTTTCCTGTAGCGCCTGCCCCGGAGGTGCCTACGTCTCTGTGGCACAGGCCGAGGGTGGTGTCATCCCCAGTCCTGTTCTTGACAAGGTCTTTCCGAAGATAGTCCTTGTCAGTGTAGGTGGCAGCTTGGGCATGAACAGACAGGACGCCCAGAGGGATTCATGGGACAGGCTGGAATTGGGGTGCAGCGGGCTGTGGGGGTGCAGGGCACCACTGAGCCGGAGCCCCAGCCTTCCTGCCTGGCCCCTGGCCCTGGTTGCTATGTAGCCCAGGCTGGCTGTAAATTTGCATATCCGCCTGCCTCAGCCTCCCTAGTGCTGGGATTGTGCGCGCATGCCACCACGTCTGGCCTGGCTCACTCTCTGAAGAGTGCTTCCTCTTGGGCAGGCTGGGAGGAGATGCGCTGTGCACCTGCAAGAGCGAACGCCGAGTGGGTCCGGATTGGCCTTGCAGGCCGGGGAGGCTGTGGGGACTGCAGCTACAGATGGCCCAGCACGGGGCAACCCCTCTGTCCTTTGCTGGGGATGCCAGGGCAGGCCACGTGGGAGGCGTCACTGTGCCCTGACGCTGCTGCTTTAAACTCAAGTTTCCAAACTGGGTGTGGTGGCTACACGGGTAATCTCAGCACCTGGGAGGCTGAGGCAGGAGGGTTGCTGTGAGTCAAGGCCAGCCTGGGCTATGTAGTGAGATCTTATCTCAAAAAAAAAAAGAAAGAAAAAAAAAAAAAAAACGGCAGGCCAAATAGCTCAGCGAATTAAAGTGCCTGCTTAGGCAGCCGCTGTGGTCAGGGTTTGATCCCTCCCCCATGCTGCGCTAGCCCCACCCTGGGCCACGACACACCTGTAATCCCAGCTCTTGGGAGGCTGAGCACAGGTGGATGACTGAGTCCGATCTGTGTAGGGAGACCCTGTAGACTCTGTACTAAAATACAAACAACAACAACAAGAAGACCCTAAATGACAACAACCCCTCAGGAACTCCCTCAGGTTTCTGACAGGCCATTGGGCTTTGCCGTGCCCTCAGCAACCCGTGCGTGCAGAAAGTGGAGAACCATCAATAGATTTTACTTTTAAAGATGGTTGCAGATTTAGGGGAATACTCAGCCCACTGCCTGCGCCTCCTGTCCAAGCATCTTGCATTCCTGCGGTGGGCGCGCTGCATTTGATGAGCCTGTGTTTCTAAAATTTTGTTATTGGTACATACTTGTAGAGCTCAGCATTCACAAATTAGTGCGCAGTTTTGAGGCCTTTTTGTCTCCTTCCCCCTCCTTCCGCTTGCTTCCATCTCGGTCCCTCTCCTCTGAGGAAGCTCTCCCTCTCTACTTCCTGTAATCTGTTGTTTTACTCTTTACTTGCACTTTGGGTCTGGCCTCGAGGAGAAACCGTGTGCTATTTAAGTCTGTGTGTCTGCTTTATTGTGCTCACCACTGTGGTCTCAAGGTGCGTCTGTTTTCCTACAAACGCAAGTTTACGCTTCCTTGCGGCAGAGCAGTACCTCGCCGTGTGCGAATACCACACGTTCCTTATCCATTGTGGCGGCGGCGGCTGATGGACGGATGGGCTGCGGCTCCAAGATTTAGCTGCTGTCAGTTGTACTGTTATGACATGGGCATGTGTAGATCCCTGTAGTACACTGTCTTTATTAACCTAAGCCCACTGTTGATAGTGGGGTTCACTCTGGGTATTGTTCATGTCCCCACTGTGGACAGATGTTAATGACCTGTGGCCGCCACCGTGGTATCATATGGGATAGTTTCACTGCCCCAAATCCCTTCGTGGGCTGGGCATCCCTCAGCGCCTGGTAGCCTCTGACGCCACCTAGAGCTGCAGTTGCCTTCCCAGAAGGTCCTGCAGGTGGACTCCTACAGGCCGCTGCCTGCAGCCTCTCAGAGGGCCCCTGTCTCAGTTACTTTTATTTCGTTGCTGGGCCAAAATGCCCGACTCCCAGAATGAAGGAAGGAAAGGTTTACTTAGCTCCCAGTTTGTGGAGGTTTCAGTGCGTACTCGGCCGGCTCCACATGGCAGAGGGCAGCAGTGGGTGGGCAAAACAGCAAGAAAAGGGCAAGACAGCAAGAGCGAGAAGGGAGAAGCAGCAGCCGCAGCAGAGGCGGCCCTCTGCCGTCCTGAGAGCGAGCACATTCGGGCATCCGCCCCAGGGCAGGTGTAGCAGGCACCACCATCCCAGCAGCGCTGGACCATGAATCAATCACAGACTCTACAGTTCCCCAGTTGACTGCATGAGGCTCTGCAGGGGGCGGGGGGTGAGGGACACCGAGACACAAACCCTGACAGCCTCCCTTCTTTTCACTGAGGAAAACGTGGCTCCCCTGTGCCGTTTCCTACCTTCACCTCTCATTCATTTTCA